CGTCAATGGAATAAATTTCAACGTAAATCAAATGAGGTGCATGACAGCTGAAATCACCAACCCCGACACGTGACCGCATTATCCATAATATTCTATATAATTTGTGATGTAACAATGTGCCCACGTCGATTCTGCATAAAAGGCATTTTATATTTCATGTGCTCCGCGTTTACATTGTTGTCTCCGCTTGAATATTTTGTAATTTATTATATTAGAGTTAAGAATCCCTGACTTAATCTGTACATCCTTGGTATATATACCCTTTATCAGCTGTATACCCAACGTATGGTCCGGTATACACTTGAGTATACCGTATACCCGGTTGAAAAGCACAGTTCCCTTCAACCAATCACAACAAATGTATTTGTTGTTTAGGAACAATCAAAACTAACGAAAGGGTTATTCGAATTCTCCAGTGCACAAAGTGACTTATGGAATCATTGGTTTAAATTTCCTTGTATGTTTAGGATGGGAAAATTGTCAATGTCAATCCTCAAATAATGATTTGATGGTTTACTATGTCTTTTGCAAATACTTTAAATTAGTTTGCCGCAATTATTTTATCACTGTTTATTCATAAAAGTTTGATTCATTTTTATTTAAATATGTAGGTCTATGTCCTTTCAAGTTTTTGCATGGCTTGGAATCAACTCTCAAAATCTCGCTCCAAAAAAGCTGGTGTTAATAGCCATGTCATCCTTGTTTATTTCGTAACATTGGCCAATCAGCAAGATGCAAAAAAGGGACGTAATAATGGGCCTTTTCGCATCCGCTCAGACACTTTTGTCACCCTGGGAGATTTTCAGTGGTGGTTGTAAACAATACTTCGTTTTTGCGATCTTAAATGCTATTCGTTAGTTTTTAGTTGTGTTTGGGAAATTTAAGTATGAATCAAATAGGTCAATCATCATTTCCCTCCTTAGGAGTTGTAGTTTTAATAGTAGTAATGAAAAATAAGTCTAGAAAGAGCTGTCGCACCAAGGTGTCTCACAAGCTGAATCCTAACCGGTAGACCAGAGCTTCCCAAACTAGGGGCCGCGGCCCTCGAAGGGGCCGCGAAACTAATTTTAGGGGCCGCAAAGAGAACATCAAATTTACACAAAGTACTCTATCTGTTGTACTTTTAAAATTCAGGATCAGTCTCATTTTCGGATTTTGCATTCATTTTCTCATTGCATATTTCATTTTCTCATTATTGCAAATTATGTGTTTATGAATCAAATTCATTTTACCATTCTATGTTGTTCACTTTCTGTTACGTAGGGTCTATTGTTGCGTAACAGAAGAGCTGCAATTTGGTAGGCTGCACTTTATTCATTTGCTGAACCGAGATTATCGAACATGGGTGATTTTTTAGCATATTAAGAAAAAACCAGGCAGGGATAAGAAATAAAAGTTAATCTTTGCTTTTATTCATTAGGCCTACATGTTTATAAAACTCAAAAGGCATAAAGTACACATTAACGATGACAAAATTGTGTTTTATTTCGAGGCAGCGTATTTTTCGTGTAGGTGCGCCGCGATCTAGGGATGCGGTGTATTCCACCATATCCAAAAATACCCCTCTAGTAGAAGAGCCAGCCCGTTCATCGTGCTCACGGAGGGACAGCTCGTGACAACCAATGAACTTCAAAACATCTATCAATCGACCGAGAACATGGCGGTTTTTCTCGACGTTTTGGCTGTGCCGACGAATAGAAACCGCGCGTCCTTCATCCAACTGTACTGCAATATTAACATTTCCGAATGTTCGGTATTTTACTGCATTGTCCAGATGCTCCATAGAAAATTGTTTATCCCTGGCACGCTCGGAAAGATCTTTAAAACCAAATTTACACCAACGTGAGTCACGGGCGGTAGCAAAAAGTAGGCAATAACAACAAAAAAGTGCATTTTTGTTCTCGCTGTAACACAACCATTCGTGTTTTTTATACCAAGTTTCTGCGCAGAATGTACGCCGACGCTTTCCTCCGTCATGGGATTGTTCCAGTGAACAATTTTTTGGTTGATAAGGCCCAAGACGTTGTACCTCTAATTTTTGTTCCAGCGGCAGCTGCGAAAACGGAGTGGGAAGTAGTGCATCAACCTTATTCATTATGAGGTCTAAGGCTAAGAAATGCGAAGCCGGAAGTGAGGAGCTCAAAAGGAATGTGGAAAATTGAAAGCAAATGGACTAAAGGTCTCTAACTGATTCAAATAGCGAAACAAGCGACAAAAACGAAGGCGAGGAAACTATCAACTCTTCAAGCAACGAACGAGAAGGAATGCGTGAATATGTCAACACGTTGTTGTAAGAAACGTCGGCATTGTGTCGTCATAATTTCGGGGCTAGCCCCGATCGGCCCCGATGATTTAATAAAAGAAACAGAAAACAAACGCGGCGAGTGGAAGATAAAAGAGAGAATACGATATACAATGAGCAATCGGGGCAAAATCGGTGTCGGCGGCGAAGGCTTTGCGAGCGAAAAATGAACCATGTTGGGAGAATATGGCTAGTGTAGACAGTCTGTGCAACCGATATTGAGGTATTTTTCGAATATTTTTTATTATACCGAAAAAACAACCGCGGCATTGCCCCGGTTGGCCCTATTGACGCGCCGCCACTGGGTGGAATACACCGCATCCCTAGATACAGTATTGAGAGATCATCTTGATGCCGCAACTGTTACAAAAGGGACATCTAAGGATATCCAAAATAATTTGCTCGACTCAATGTATAAAATTTATTTACAACATTTGGCTCTGGAAATTGAGAATTGCCAGTTCCTTTCGATTCAGTCTGACGAGACAACTGACATCACGTGCGTTTCCCAACTGGCTGTGATTTTTCGGTTTGTGAAAGATGGTAAACCTACCGAGAGATTTCACAACTTTGTACCAATCGTTGATCGCACGGCTTGCGGGATATCGGCTGTACTGAAAGAAGTGTTACAGCCTTACAACGCGAAGTCAAAATTGATAGCTCAAACTTATGACGGCGCGGCAGTCATGAGTGGGTCGAAACATGGTGTTCAAGTTTATATAAAAGAAGATTTTCCTCATGCGCATTTTTTACATTGTTATGCACACCAATTTAACCTCGTTATTAAAAATATGTGTCTTGATACCCCTCTCGTCCGTATATTTTTTGCAAATGTTTCGGGGTTTTCTTCATTTTTTTCCGTTTCGCCGAACCGCTCTGACCTCCTTCACCAGATATGTAGCCGCCGTCTCCCAGCTTGTGCACCAACACGTTGGAACTTCCAATCACGAGTGGTGCAGGGCGTGTCCGAAATTAAGTCTGAGCTCATTGAGTGTTTCAATGGCATTCAGAGCTCTCCGGTTTGGGACGAACGCTCTGTGAGGGAGGCGGCAGGTCTAAAGCGTCTGCTAGAAGATGGTGAGTTTTCATTTTTTCTCGCTTTTTTCTCCACAATATTCTATCACGTGGATGTATCATACGGCGCATTGCAATCAAGGCTAATGGATGGAGCGTCTTGTGCAGTCGTGTATTTCAGACTTCTGCGATGCTGTATCTCGTATCCGGGAAACAATAAAATACGACGACACATGGAGTGCTTCTTTACGCCGCGGGCAAACAACGCAGCGTTTGATTTTGTCTGCAAAGGAATGCTGTGACATTCTGGTGTATCAAATAGGCGATCGTCTGCGCACTGAACACCTTGCCGCGTTCTCTTTGAGACTTTGATGAACCCCAAAAATTTTTCAAAATTTGCACGTCAATTTCCCATCCATTTGTTGGCTACTGTCTCCAAATTTTAGCCCATGATAAACGTGGGTAAATTGGAAAATGAATTGCGATGTATATACACCAATCAAACTTTTTTGAACATCACATCAACTTGCGTGCTCTATGGGTTCCTCATAGATAACACTCTAGTAACTAACTTTGCGGCGTCTGCAAAATTTCTGGACATCATTTTGACGACGCCTATTTCTTCCGCCGACGCAGAGCGAACATTCAGCACGCTGAAGCGTATTAAAACGTATCTCAGAAACACAATGAAGCAAGATAGATTAAATTCCTTGGCTGTTTTATCCATTCACAGAGACGTTATTTCTGGGATGCATGACTTTAATCAGCGCGTTATTGAGCATTTTGCTTCCAAGAAACCGCGGCGTGTTGCATATATGTTCAAGCAGTAGAAGTCTAGCAGCATATATATCTATGAGTGAGCGACGCATGTCCTTATCTTTGCATTACCTTTCCTTTCTTCATAGTAACGTTTTAAACCTTATTTTAGGTTTTGTCTGCTTTCCCGAAGTTTTTGTTAATATGTCATTGTATTTATCTGGGTAAATTTGCCTTTCCTTTGAAAAGGTTTCAAAATAAACTATGTCTATATTTATTAATCTCTTGACTTGGACCGGTTTTAAAGACACTTTCTTATCGTTAAAAATTGTCGCTTTTGCCGATTGGTTGTTACCGATGGAATGGTTTTTATACTCATAAAATGATGGGAGAACTTACAACGCTCATCCTGTCCCCGTAGATGGGGGTGACTTGGTCCCGCAGTAGCTTGCCCCGGTTGTCAAAATGACCACGCGCCGCCACTGGTATATGGTATGCTAAATATGGTGAAGAAGCATTTGATAGTTAGTGTAGAAAAGTGATGAAATACTGGGGCAAAAAATAAGAAATTATTGACAGAAACAGAACTATCGTTTCACATTCTATCCTATATAATTCTTTCCGAATGCTATGGTTTTCACTTCAAACGAAGCTGTGTACAAGTAGCCATTTCGACATTGCCTACCCACCCATGTGTGCAGTTGATTTGTAACTTTAACCACTGTATGTTGTGAAGTATTTGAGAGTTTGTGTGGTAATAAATTTCTCCGCAAAACTTGTTTTCAATGCACCAATTTGTATTACTTTTTTGTGTGGTATGAAGGGATTTTCTTTCATTCAGATGAGATATAGCTAGCTTATTGATTCTGTATCAGAGTATTTTTTTTGCTGTAACAATTCGCTGCATCCTAGAACAATTACAACTTGCTATTGATGTATAAGTGTATTTTTTTGATAAAAGGTTATATATATGGCACACCTATGCTGCAAAATTTCATTAGATCTTAAAGTAAGAACGATGCATAATAATTATAAATCAGAAATAATTTTAATGGCCTGGGTACGAGTATATGCTATAGAAATTTCATTGTGTGATAGTAGAACATTATACAACATACAAAAAAAAGTCATTCAATTGCAGCAGTGAAAAACTCAGCAACATAATTTTTCTGGCAGTGGTAGTAAGGCATCAAATATATAAAAGTATACCAACAAGACATAATTTGAGCGTACAGTGGCAATATGGAAGCATTAAACAAGTTGCTAGACAAAAAGGCTCTCTAATCCTTAAGATTATGATCTACACATGTAATGAAATTGTTTGCTATGTTGTTGTATGAAGTGTAAAACTAATGGATATGAAAATTCAAAATATGCATGCATTGTATACAAAATTACTATCTGTGGATATTAGGTAATCATTTCAATATCTACGACGAATTGACTGCTATTTACGTACAGTTATAGCATTCGTCCATAGTGCCACAACAAATTGCAACATTAGTTTAATATTTACATTATATTGTGTATCATATATAATAGCATGGCTACACGAGGCAGGGCTGGCATTAATATGCATAAGCATTGGAAGCTATAATATTGAGTTAGAGATTTCCTACAAGAATTTAAAATAAATTAATTGCATCATCTCATAGCTCCTCTTTTTTTGATTTAGGTTTTGCTTTCTTTCTATGACATGAACATTTTTTGTCAGGCTGTTTCACCATTTCCATCTTCTTCAAAACTTTAACTGGTCTCGTCTGTCGTTTTGCGTACTCATTGAAAGCAACAACGTAGTAACATAAGATTCTATCGGGAGTCAAAATTTCTCTTGCTAGTTTTGTAGCTGCTTGTTGTATTTTCCGAGCTTCATCATCATGTTCACGAGCCCATTTAATTTTTTCAATGACATCCGATAAGTCTCTTTTTAGAGGCACAAAATGAACCCAAGGTTTCAAGTCTTTATAGAAATGCTCGTAATACTCAGATTCCTGCTTGAAAACTAATCCATCTCCGACCAGCAAATAAGGAAGTCGATACGCAGCAACAGTGCCATCAACATTAAGCTGATACTTGTGTTTAAAGAATTCAAAAAACGATACATGTTTCACTTTTTTGCCATATTTTTCTTCATCTTGTTTGAAGAAAAAATAATTAGTAATTGCAACATCGAGCAAATCCGGATTTGCTAAACTCATTGCGGCAAGATCAAGTCGTTCTTGTCTACTATCTCGACCTCTGAAAAATCCTTTATTTGATTTTTTCTCCCAGTTTGGACCAGTGTTGGCTTGAACTGAGAATATGTCTAGACTTACTCTGCCAAGCATTTCAAATACGGATTGCGTAATATCATAAGTAGGCAGTACTATGTCTAATGTTTTGTCTGAACCACACCATGAAAATATGGGATGAGCTTGTTCCTTTGAACCTCTCTCAAGAGGCCAGTCTCCTAAATTTATTAAAAACTCAACATCCGGAAGCTTCAACTTTTTAGTCAATGATAATAGAGTTGCATCCATGAACATTTTGAAATCTGTGTATTTTCCATGGCATTGTCTATAAATTTTGTTACTTTTAACAACATAATGGCAAAAGGAGTGATGTACACCAAACTTCGGAATTCCCTTTTTCACAAGATCGTCAAGGTCAATTTTTTCAAAGATTTCAAGATCTCTTTCAACCTGATCAAAGGTTGCAGGGCATTTTAGTGCCTCTGTCCACTTTTTAAGAGGCATGGGACAGTAGCACTCATCTCCATATACATTGATAAGTTTGTACGGTGATTTAGCAACATGTTTACTCTGATACTTCAATGACATTTCAATGTCCCCACCAAAGTCATATAGACGAAAACGTGCAATATAAGTTCCATTGTGTAAGTTTAAAACTTGTCTCCACGCTCTGATATTTTGCCCATTTTTTGTGACAGTTAATGAAAACGCTCCATCTCCAAGGTCTTTTGTGATTGGTTTTCCTTTACTATCATGAGGATGAATATATACATACCGCACTGGCAAAGTGGCATCATCCACTATGCCAGGTCCAGATACAATTGTCTTTGACAGGTCAACCTTAGCAGATAAACAGCACCTGAAAACACTGCAGGCTAATGAAAGCAATACCACCCATAATCCATTATTCAGTATAGTACTTCCTCTCCGCAACATTTTATGTGAGTTAAGACCTAAGGAAAGCAAGATGTACAGATGATAAATGAAACAAAAGCATTTACACGTTTTAAAAAAGTGCACACTGCATCTGCAATAATTACTTACACTGTTGAAATCTATAAATTTTTTTTAATCATAAATGGTCATCAATCACCCATTTTGCTTGCAATCTAAACATACCCCACCACCAGTGAATGCAATTCAGACTGATGAAAACAAAGGATAATAATAAACTTTATGGAATACAAAATTCCGTACTTATAACTGGGTAATGGTTCCTTTTCACAAAGTATAAAAAGTCCGATTCTAACCCTTTATTAAAAACCAACCAGACCAACTGTTATGACTAACATCTGAGGGCACTATCAAAACAAGTACAACAATGAGGAATGTGAAAGTGAGCTATACAGGACTTCATTCATTTAGGTGGTCAAACTGATAAAGCTAGCAAACTGATGAAGCACAAACAAATACAATCACGAAAGTCAAGATAGGTAAATAATAGGAAAGAAACAAATAGCTTGAATAATCTTGCCTGGTAGTAGTAATAAAATTGAAACTGAAACTCGTATTAAAATCAATGTATTTATACACAAAAAATATTAGTGCTTCATTATAAAATTATGCCTGTAGGTTTCAACAAATGAAATTGCAAGCTCATACTTTGATGAAGTGAACCATATTAAATGTAAATTTAACGTGCTGCCATAATAATAATTATAGGCCGTAATTAGGCCCAGTCAGGGAAAATATTTACAAAGTTCTGGGAAAGCAAGCATTTTAATGTTCAATATTAATAATAAGGAAACAAATATGCCAGACTTAATTTAATTAACTGGTCTTTTATCAACTTATTTTCAAATTAATCAATATGACATCACATTTTTGTTTCTTTTCCATTAAAATTTTCAAAATGAATGATTCTAGTCAATGCTAACTCAAACAAAGTGTAACATAAATCTTGGCCATCGGGCGCTAGGCGAGAATTCAATTTAAAATATGCCCATGATTAAAGGGTAACATATTTTGTAACCAAAACAAAACCGTATTCAGTAAAAACTTGAAAATGTTATAAACTTCATTCAAAATACAGAAAAGTGTCATTTTCAATATTATTTAGATTATTGCTGCACACTTACCAAGAATACATGCGGACTACTAAGATAAATCTCTATGCAAAAAGTAACAGACAGTTTACAGATAGACATAAAACTACATGACTTGGAAATTTCAATCACTGATCTGCTATTATACAAAGATGTAACCATAACTTCAAATTTTCAACTATTTTTTACTTTAAAAAAGTTAACTATGAGTTTCCATGAACATACAACTCGAAAGGAGTACTGAATACCGATTTTTATATTATACACCAGAATGAAAAAGCCTTGTAATTTCTGATTAACCCTTTTACTGACATTTCAGTTCAAATCTGAAACTTAACATGCACATAGTATGTAATTTCTAAAAAATTAGAATTCCTAAAAATACAATTAATATATACATAGCAAAATAAAAAACAAGCAGTTTGGCAAATAAAATCATTTTGGTAAAATGGTCAAAAAACCAGCAAAATGAAATATCATAACTATTTATCTCACGCATTAAAACTTTAAATGGGAGAACAATTATTGGGTCATTCTTGAAGTATCTACAAAGATCACACCTCTCGTTCTTGGTATCACAAATATTTAATAATCAATTTAAAATTCTGCACAAACAATTTTTTTTAGATAAATTCAATCCATGACTTATGTTAATACACACCAGTATTGGTAATTTAATAATGATGACATCAGAACCTGACATATGAAAAATACACTTATATAATACATTATTCCAAGATATAGCTATTCAGAAATATGATAAAAAACACTAAGTAAGGACATGTTTTCATCATTAATGGCATTGATACACTCTCCAGCTTGGTGCGAACCTGGGTGTCAGGCTTAATATTTTCAAGGCAAGATGATTTCGTTTGCTAAAATCTGGGTTAAAACAATTTGAATATCTTGGATTTTGTTCAAGCTGCTTGGATTTACCTATGCTTGGTAATACATTTCATTTACAGAAGCTACACTGCATTAGTATGAGAGTTTAACCTTTTCCTTTTCTGAACAGAATTCGATGTAAGTATATTAAAATAGTTCACTTCAATCTATGATAAAGAGATGGACATGATTAAGGGATAAACAAATTTTAAAAGAATAAAAAAAAATAAAAATATAAAATACAATGCTAGAAAGCCCAATAACTATCAATTAGTAAGTGCTTTGTTAGTTTTCATATATCCAAGTTACCAGTTGATTGTGAAAATTACCACATCATCATGACTAGGTTATTAATATTTATACAATTTTTACATAGAATGTATTGGATTCACCATTCAGGTCTACGATTGCGAGAAAGGTGTGAACATATTCAACTCTGTGAATTCTTCTTGGTTATAAGCATTTGGTCCTTGTTCCAGCATAGACATCATGGTCTCGGACTGTGGATATGCTTCTGTTGGCCGACCATCTGCAACATACCCACCAATTGGGGGTGATGCTTGATATGATGCATTTGTATACATCCCCCCATGTTGTTGTTGAGGGGCAACTGGCGCTTGGTATCGATCCAAAAGTGCTTGAGAATACTGAGAACTGACGGGATCCGCTGCGCCGACTCCTACGGGATTCCAACCTGGCTGAGCTATCGGTACAGTCGTGGGACTAAACTGACTTGGAATTTGTGCTGAAGCAGTTGCAATATTTTGTGGTGGATAATTGAGAGTTGTTGTAGGTGATTGAACATCTGGAGATTGGGTAGGCTTGTTTCCATATTGCTGATCACTCCTTACATGTCCATATCCACCTGGCATTCCTTTTTGGTCCTGAACTTGGTCCTCTTGTAGTGAAGTTGGAGCGCTTTGTTGTTGCGACTGATTTTGTTTCATTAGCGAATTCGTACAGACAATATACTCAACTTCATTGTTGTAAGGATTTTGGAAAGTAAACGTACTGGTGCGCATCCAAATATATTCACCATTTTGAGCCCTGAATCTATATACCATTGAAAATACCTGTCCACGTAACAGCATCACCTGTTTGAAACTTTCTTGAGCTTGTTCTGCATCGTCGGGATGGTAGAAATCTACAGGCCTCTTTCCGAGCAAGTCTTGTGGTTGATATCCAAGTATGCTTGTCACTCGCATATCAACAAACGTATATACATTGTCAAAATTGTGTCGGGAAACAAATTCAGTTGCATCGCTTGTAGGATTGAGATCTCCGAACGTGGGGTGACTTGTTATCTGAAGTCTTGCAATTGCAACCAGACAATAGTCTGTATTGCCGTTGGAGTTCTGACCAGCCATATCTTCCAACACATCTGGCTGTGCATCGGCTCCAGTATATCCAGATGGAGGCCAAGGTTTTATATAACCAGTAACATGCGTAACTGTATGCATATCTTCACCATCGCCAGTATGGCCGAGAGTATTTCTGGCACGCTGATATCTTGGACCATTGGTATTAACTTGTACTTTGCCACATCTCATGCGACAAATGAAAGCACGACGAGATCCGTTGCACATTCGTACTGAACTTTGTTGTCCCTCCTTTTTGACAGTACCAGTTTTCAAGTCAAGCATACGGCCGGTATTCTGTGTATCGTTGAGATTCAATTGCTCTTGCACTTTGGCAACATCCTGTGGATGAATTAGATCATACAAACTGTGGCCAAGCCAATCAGAATGAGCTTGACTGAGAACTGATGTAACCGTATCAGACACATAGATTACTTGGCCAGTTTCGCAAGATGCAACAAAGAGAAAGCCATCTGCAGACTCAAGGACCAGATGCTTCAATTCTTGGTCGGTTAAAAATGCTGGTTTGTATGCGCTATCCAGTCCACCACCAGCCATTCCCACCCTCAACTGCTTCATATGAGAAACTGCCATGCGAAGTATAGTCAGTTTGTCTGGTTTTCTTGCCAATGCACTACAACTAGGTACCATGTCCGATAGTTCAGTGATATATGCGGTCATTTTATTGCGCCTACGTCTTTCAATTTCTGAATGATTTTCTCTTGCAAACCGCTCTTTGTCAGCTTGTGACATATCATCCATATTTTGATCTTTTCCGGGATCCATAATGCTGATTAAATAATTTCTAAATACTGAAAAATATCAGAAAAGAAATTTGATGAAGAACTCATTTTGTTTTATCAAATTTTATGGCACTATAGCTGGTAATTTCAATAAACTGATAAATGCAAATATCTAATCAAACTTGGAAAAGCTAGCTTTCATACATACAGACATACTTTAAAATAGTTGTTTCCATATCATGAGTCGAAATGATGAATAAACGTTGTGTGTGAACCTTTAATAATGCCTAACTTAGTGGGATAGCCTACTTAATTTGTGAGACAATGGTTTTGCGGTTTTGTCAGAATCGCGGAGTTTTTCGGTCTCAAGCAAGCCAGTCTGGATTTCATGGACTTTTTCCGCGAGAAATCGGTTGTGCAATCACAGATACAGGCGTGCAAACCCAGAAATCAAAATTAAGTACAGAAGTATGAGTGAAATGTTGGTATTATACCGTATTTAAAGTATTATTATATTTCAGTACCGTATTTTAAATCATCAAATTACTATATATGCGGGCTCAACGGGCTAACCGTTAGGAATACGCTCGCCACCGCACCTCTAATTACTCTGCGTGGGTTCGAATCCCATGCAGGGATGGTTATGTGCGAGAGGATTGCTGGACTCCTCGCCGTCGTTGGGTGGTTCACGTAACCGCTGGTCGGTTACGGCTTCCTCCATCACCAAGTCCATGCTTCCGAAAACAAACAATACAGTAAAACTAATCCCATAACCGACTTGGAATGGTACCACCGGACGAGAGGCCGTGGTTCGCCATATGGTCATATGGATAGGCCGTCTTATCGGCTTTCCCTTTCCCCCGGGATAAATATGTAAATCCTATCCTATCCCTACTAGTTTATACTTAAAAATTGAACGCATAATGCTTTTCATTTTATCTATTTCATCATATTTTACTGAATTTCGATATTCCCAAATTGCTGATTTTCCGCATATTATTGTGATCACGATAAACAGACCGATCAGGCGATCACGATAAACAGACAAACCAGAACTTCTTCCCGAATTTGCGTTGTTTTAATGTGACGTCAACGAATTCAAGCATAAATTTGTTAGCCTGACCTTTGATCTGTATTAACTGGATGTTTTCCCTAGTATGCCTCTTGTTTATTTTCGTATAGGCCGCGAGCCGAGGCCATTTATCTTTCAGTTTCGTAGCGCACATCAGGTAACTACCTGAAAATGATTTTAAAATGTTCCTTAGAAATTTAGTAACAAATATTGCCTTGTTCCCACTTCCAAAAGTTGCACGTTTTACAGAAAAGACGCTTTTACTACAATAAATATGTGTTACCATCTGTCCTATTTTCTCTGCTTTTCCGGTATCATGGGCCAATGAACGCAGACTTCTGCACTACGTAACAGTCAAGTTAGTCAGCTGTAGGTGGATCCCCAGTGGTCGGATGAATATCAGATGTACTCAACTGCTCGCTTTTGCCTTTCCATAGTTTTTTTCAGTTACCGGTAATATTAGTCCAGTTATTCTAAGGAGGTGTTGAAAAGTATAGGTAAGATATTAAACACTTGTATATCCTTGCCATAAATAGCAATTTTAGTTGAGCACTAGCTCATAAGACGTTGTTAAATAGGTACCGTGCGGTACGGTAACTCCAAGGAAGGCTAGACCTAGAATAATATGTCACAAACAACGATATTTTCTGGCTTGCATGAAATGTTTATGATTAATTTATAGACTCTTCTTGACTATTCAGCAGACTTATACTACTATATAGGCCACAGCATATTTGGAAATAGAAATGAATGGCTGTTTCTGTAATGCACGGTTGTGTGAAAGAGAAGAAATTAATCAATTTTACTAATGTCGGTTGGTCTAAATCTAAATTCATAGAGTCGCCAAGAACCTGGGAAGCAATGATAAGTTATGCCGGAGTGGAAAGAAAGGTAGCATTGGAAATGATTGAGAGGTGAGAAATGAAGTTGTAGACAAACAGTTGATGTTTCAAAATATAGTCTATAGTCCATACTCATACTGTCATAGGACATTTCAGACTGTGATATATCAAAATTTAGTGTAGATATAGTCTAGTAATGGTATGCAAACACTGCTGGACTGTAGAACATGCAATGAGCATATATACGCTCATTTAGTACATCAGATAAAATGCATTATGTATTCAAGGTATTAGTTAGTATTTAGGGGTATTTTTAAAATCATGCTGCTCCAAATATTATTTTCTTTCTTATTTTAGATATTGTACTACAAAAGAAAACGGCAATGTTCCACCAATCCGACCTAACGCAGGCTCTGATCCCTGCTGCTATCAGTGCTATAAAATGGATTAAACAAGAAGTCTTAAAGCTTAAAGGTATATGAGAATCATAATAGTTGCAAACAGCTTAGATGGGCTATTCATATTGAAATACTTTAGCACTTTTCTGCAATTGGAACTGCCCATCAAATTCATGTTGGAGACTTCATTGAGATTTTCAATTCATTTTTTTCCCTCGACTATGAAGATCTTTCAAGGTTAACGAGGTATTAATAAATAAAGCTGAGGAATTTGAAGAGGATATGGAGAATGTAAATGATACCAGGGCACGTCTATTTAACACTGTCAAACATAAGGATTATACTCTTCACCCAACAATGATTCACTGAAGAAGCATGTGGCCCTCAAATCAGTTCTTGAGTTGGCAAACTGCAAAGAAAAATAGTCAAAATAATTTATGAAAGTGTGCCAAAATCAACTTAAATTGCACAGATTTTTGTTTTTGTATTGATTGCAGAAATCACAGTACACCTATAGAGGAAAAGTCGATTTTTGAGATAGTGGATTTCGAAAACAATTCAGAAGAAAGTGAATTAGATATTACAGTTGATTTAATAAGTACCATACATTTGTTTTGTTTTTCGGACATTTGTTAGTGTCGTAGTCCTGTTTCTAGAAATATTATTGCCTTTGTTCAAATACATAACCACATAAACTAAAAAAAGATTAATTGTAAATTGTAATATTTCTGTTCACTATGTTATGTACATATTGTACATTCATTTAATTTTCTAAGTGAGAAATAACTGATTTATTTGTGTTTTCGTGCTCACGATGTTAATTTGTGACTTCATTGCTTAAAAATAAATACGTTTGATACTTGATAGCTTCTATAAAATGGATGTAGCTTTTTATGCTGTTCTTGTTGTAAACTGCTTGTGGTTATTACATAAAATTTATTCTCAAATGTGAATCAGCGGTGTTGGTGTCGCTGCTTTCGAGGTCACTCCCGACTCCTGTCACACAACTAAAGTATTTTTTGTTGTTGGTTACATGTATGCCATATTTTTCGTAATCTACCTAATAAATTATGATTGACTGAGGAAGTCCGATTTTGGTCAGGCAAAACATTACAGGAATACATTTGTGTTAGTGTGCTGTAGGGCTCTCGAATTGTATAGTTCTTATGTATGCGTTGTAAACTTATGGTTATTGAATTTCCGGGAACCTCTTATATTCAATTTCGCACCAGGATTGTGGAACAAGCTGTAATGCGTTCATTATGTTCGTTTTCACACAAAACTGAAGAATTTATTTAGTTACCAGATGTGCGCTACGAAACTCATTTTCTGGGCGTTTTCATGGTTTCGTCTCACGGCCCATATCCGTGGTGAGGATCTACAAGTGTTTAATAATTTACTTATACATTTTTCAACAACGTCTTAGCATAACTTAACTAATAATAACTAAACAGGGCTATGGAAAGCCTGCCCAACTCAGCGCAAGGTCGAGCAGAAATAACTAATACTCATCCGCTCGCTAACAGCTGGTTTAATTCAATTGTTACGTCATGCAGAAGTCATTGTTCAGTGCCGAAAATGTAGAGAATATAGGACAGATCGTAGCACATATTTCTTGTAGTAAAAGCGTCTTTTCCGTAAAACGTGCAACTTTTGGAAGTGGGAACAAGGCAATATTTGTTACTAAATTTTTAAGGAACATTTTAAAATCATTTTCAGGTAGTTACCTGATGTGCGCTACGAAACTCACTTTCTAGGCGTTTTTCAGGGCCTCGGCTCGCGGCCTAGTAGCAATTTTCAATATGTTAACGATGATGTGTCTATTTTGTATATAAGCAATAAATACGTTTTCATAACATAATATAGGCTAAGTACCAAATCACAGAGAATTCATTGCCGGGTTCAAAGGTCGTTCCGCAGGAAAAAAAGAGGACATATATTTCTCGGGCATCAATTTCCGGTAGATAAAATCTAAAATTCAAGTACCGGAGTGTACATATGTCTGTAGAGCAGGAGAAGATTATCGGATTGTTATTCAGTAATGCTTTGAAAATTTATAGTTTTCATACCCATTATCTGAAAATTATTTAGATTGTAAAAATATAGTTATAAAAAAATATGTGTATGTCTGTTGTGTTATGATGAAAATTATGAAATATCAGATAAAATTGTTGTTGTATTATTTCATGTCTAACTTTTCTTTTTTCCTCTCCCATTTTCTATTCTTAAAATATGTGATATATTAATATATATTCTACTATGGATATCGAATATCGGATTTAAACCTTTTACCATAGACAATGAACTATTGACTGTATAATTTACATATAACTATTAATTTGTGCATATCGATCGAACACGATATGCTGGAAAATAACTCAATGTAATCAATTTGACGATATTATGGAATAGTTTGGTCTTTATGTATTGTTTCATTTTATTTTTTTGTTAATTTAAAAAATTCCGCCATTTTTCTGATATCAGAAAAAAAAAAGAAACGATTTCCGTGTTTACATCTGTAATAACGACCAATCAGCTAAAAGTAAACAATGGTAATTTTTGCAGCCGCTCACACACTTCTTTTATTTGACCCAGACAGATATTCAAGCATGGTTATAAACATTGCCTCGTGGCCATGTTCGGGGTTTTGCGTGTTATTTGTGAGATTTCAGTTTTTTTTTTATTCTTCAAAAATTAGCTGTAATTGAAGTAATATAACTCACTATGTCTTCTGATGGAATTTAGTTCAGTGGCAGCAATG